AGATTTTATGACAACTGGACAAAGAACTATTTGTGGACAACGAGGTCTAGCATTCATTGACTTCTATATTTATAAGTCACATTAAGCATGGTAATTTTATACAAGTTTTCTTTTTAGAAATACTTTTAAACCTTAAAAATTTCAGAAAATTTTGAATATTTTTATAATTGAAAGAAAATAGCATATAATTTAAATTCTATAGCTAACAATATTATATGATATTTCTTCACTATTAATGATGACATTAGGACGTAAATGTAATTAAACTTGATAGGAATGCTTGGTTAGCACAAGAATTATAATGTGGTCATCAGATGCTAGTTTCTTGTGGACTTGAGGAGGATAAACAATGAAGGCCACTGTTTTCTTTAAATTAAGCACTGCATTGGGAGAAGATTTTTAATCTAGGTCCTAAATCAACCAGAACTCGCATGAAACTACTCCATATGCTCCTGACCTGGCGAGCACTTGACTATTCCATTGTTTTTTCTAGTTAGTTGTTAGGCTCTTCTGTTGGTGAGCACTTACTTGCAGAATGCCTTCTTTACAGATAGCACCTGGGCAAGATTTTGGAGATGTCATAGGAAAATGGTGTATGTGTCTTGGGAAATTTCAGGGAGAAGATAGTGAAACAAACATTCAAAATTCTTGTAACACTGAAATAACTAAAGGTTGCTAATAAAGGCACAGAATGAGAATGAAGAAAATGATGAAATAGAAAAAAGCTCTTTTAGGATTTATTTTATGTGTATTGAGTGTTTTGCATGTATGAGTTTCTATGTGCCTGGTCAGAAGAGGGTGTTGGATTTATTTATTTGTTTGTTTATTTATTATTTTTTTAAGACAGAGATTTCTCTGTAGACTCGCTGTCCTTGAAGTCACAGAGATCTGCCTGCCTCTGTCTCCCGAATGCTGGAACTAAAGGCGTGCACCATCACTGCCCAGGTGTTGGATCTTTTGGGACTAGAATTACAGGTGGTTGAAAGTTGCTGCTGTGTTGGGAAATGAACCAAGGTTCCTCTGCAAGTAGAAATGTTCTTAACCACTAAGGCATCTTTTCAGTCTGAAAGAGAAAGCTTAAAAACACCTGTCACAGGAGGAAATGGTGTTAGAACAGTGAGGGAAGGCCTACATTTAACTTCAGATGTCATGGTAAGTTATTTGTACTTTTTAACTTGTAGGGAGTGAAAGATACCTGAGAAATTCTTAATAGGGAAATAATATTATCTTATTTGTGCTTTAGAGTACTTGGTGGCGCACGCCTTTAATCCCAGCACTTGGGAGGCAGAGGCAGGCGGATCTCTGTGAGTTCGAGACCAGCCTGGACTACCAAGCAAGTTCCAGGACAGCCTCCAAAGCCACAGAGAAACCCTGTCTCGAAAAAACAAACAAACAAAAAACAAAAACAAAAAAACAAACAACAACAACAACAAAAAGAGTACTTCATTGCGATGGCAGAAAGGAAGACAAACTTTTGAGTACTCAAGGCAGGAGGCTAGCTTTATGATTATTGCTGTGGTCTGGATCAAGGAATGACGAGGAGCTGAAGTAATGTGATTACCTGATCAAGGTGGGGGGAGAGAATCAGGAGACATGTAGGCAGTAATAGAAACTGGTGCCAAAAGGAATAAAAACAGAAAGAACAGGGACAGCGCTGAGATTGCTGAAGTCTATAAACTGAAACAGAAAGCCAGGAGAGGGAACAGTGTCCTGGGGATATGAGATGGATCTCATAAGCGAGTACTGACACACAGCTCTGGAAGTTATCTAAGTAGGTGGGAGTGGCTGAAGTTATAGAAATACATGTGATTCTGGTGAGTTTCATAGATATAGTCTTCAAATAAACCATTATTTATGTTTAAAGCAGGTATATCCCCCCACACCCCACCCACACAAAGTGGAGTAGAAACAGGCAGGGAAGGATCAGAAAATGAAAATGTAGTTATATAACCCCTGTCCAAATGACATCAGGAAGGAATGGTATGGTATTAAAGATAAGGAGAGTTCAAATACTACAAATATTCTAAGAATTGGCTGTATTTGTAAATGTAGTACTTACTAATCTTAGTAACTACTGAAGTAATATTATATGATCTCAGTATTTATATATTTCTATGATTTTAAACAAGCTTTTCCAACATTCATTTGACACTCAATAAGTGAGATGCATCCGTTAGTTTTAGGACTTACATGCTCAAGGATTTGCATGACCAAGCAATATATAGTCTAGTAGGAAAGACACATAATCACATAAATATCCAGCTCAAAAACTACACTCGGGCACATTGTAGACTGGAAGATATTCAAATATATTTAAAAAGAACCCCAAATACTATGGTAGCACAGAGAATAGAGATTTTCTTCCTAGGGAGATAATGACACTGTTTTACAGAAGATGCTGTTGAACTGGTTTTATTATATTGATGTATGTGATTTTATTAATAACATAATGTTTCAGAATATTTTTAATAGTTCTGGTACTACATTAGGCATTTATGTCATACAATTTATTCTTTACAAGAAGTCAGTCTGTGAAACCGGTATTATTATCTAACCTGATTTAGGAATGTGCCTCAAATCTCCTAGGCAATTAGCAGGAAAGCAGAAATTGCACCTAGAACTATTTGATTTAACACTGAGCCCATTTTTTTCCTATGCGCATTGCTACGCTGACTCTCATAGGATGTGCAATGTTCTTCAGGAGGCTGGCAGGGAAGACAAAGGGCTCTAAGTAGAGAGATCAACATTTGCAAAGGCATTTAGTCTTGAAAAGGCAGAATGCTTCTGAGGAATGAGATAGACAGTGTAGTACAGAGGAAGAGAACAAGAGGAGGGAATATGTAACATGCATTGTTTAATAGCTTTGCATGTCTTATTTCATCTAGTTCCTACAACGTTGCTGAAGAAGGCATGTGCCTGTGAATATTAGCATGAAGTTTCAAAATAAACTCCAAGTACACACCTAAATATTTTTAATTCAAATGCTAATTTTTGATATTGCTATGTTGTACTGCTAATCATAAATGTACATCTTTATTTTATCATGGTTGTACATTAGTTGTATAATAACAATATGGCTAATATGTGCCATGGGCTTTGGAATTAGGAAATTACTTTTAATGTCAAAGAGAATGGTTTCAACCAGTTGCCAACAATGTAATGAACAGCAGAGGAATATATAGACAGTGAAAAATGAAAGATGATTATTGATCATCTATTCAAGAAATTTGGTTGTGAAGGAAAAAGAGACTTCTTTCATTCAAATTTTATATTGCGTAAAGTATCTACATATTTTCAAAGAATTTACCTCAGTGAAAACCTAGACTGTATACAGCATACTAAGTCCATCTTCAATAGTTCTTTCAGGACATAACCTTCCTAAAAATCCCCTGGAATGCAAAGACTGACGTTCATGTAACCATGATGAAGATACACACTGCTTAATTTGTAGCTAAGAAAATAAACAGAATATGTAAAAGAAATCCTGATAATACTTCAAATAGGGATAAAAGATGTGAGAAATAATTTCAACTTTTAGCTCTTATAAATGTCATGTTGTACTTAAAATGATCCGCAGAATGGTAGCATTCCATTAAAAAAGGCTTTGTTTGTTTGTGGTTAAATGTGTAGAGTAAAGATGACATAAATTTGTCCAAAAAAACCCTTCCAACTTAATATATTATCTGATAATGATGACTTTTCCACTCTCTGGCACTAGAAAAATTCTTTCTTTGAAAATATATTAGCTAGTGAGATTTTTTAATTGACATTTCTAACAATTTTTGCAACCTAACTGATCTCAAGGAACCACTATTTTGGGGGAATTTTAGTCATATAGCAATGAAGTGTTTACATATAAAAAAAACTTTTAAATTTATAACTCTTTGTAGCCTGTACAAACAAAGGTAAATTATATCATAATATCATCACATTCTTAGCTTGCTAATGCACATTGAGAATAACTAGATATACAGTGTCTGACTGAATTTGAATCTAATCTTTAAACAGATGATGTACAGGACTTAATTAAAAGCTTCAAGATACACTGATAGTAAAGATTAAAGTGTGCAACCCCTAAACCATCTCAAAATGGCTTTGCTCAGATTCACCTGAGCTTGGGTTATCAATTTAAATATAGCTGTAGAGATGTTGGAGAAATGGTTGAGATGACTTATCTCAACTAGGAAATAAAAGGACGTAACAATCCTTGTACATATGACTTAATATTGAAAACAAACAAACAAGATGAAGGAAAAAAACTGTGTTGGGAACTAGAGGTGATTAAATTTGTGAATGATGATGCGATGCTGTTCACCACACAAAAGGATAGGTTGACAAGACCTAGTCCAGAAAGCTTCCTCGGAAAACGCTGCTACAATATCCAGGTTCCATAAATTAATAACGGACATCTTTGCTTGGGAAAGTGTTAACATTCTGTGCACTGTTATAAGGACTGGTTGATTATGCAGCTTTGCTTAAATTTTAATAAAAATGCAAAGAGCTATCAAAATAAACAAATATAATTATGCACTCTGAAGGCTGCACCGAATACTTTTAAAGAACAACATGGGAAAATTAATTTCTCTGTACTGGGTTCAGTGCAGCTAGAGGCCTCAGTGAACAAAGTCCCAGGAGATCTCAATTCAGGAACATGACAGTGAGGCTCAGTGAGTACAGCTGGTGGTAACACAACTGTCTTTGTGAATAACATTGCCTTTCAATGTGGAGTGTGTGATGATTTCAGCACCACAGGCTCCAAGAGTTGACTAAGGTCATTTATTATATACAATTTATCCCAAATATTACAGTAACAGTAAGTCCCACGAAAATAACTTTGTGATATCAAAATGGATGTGATATGTAACCTAAAGAGTTCATTTTGTTTACGCTTTCCTTAAAGCATTAGTTAAGTACTATGAATAAAAACTAGGTATTGTTTAGTTTACAAAGAAAGGTTGCTTTGCTTTTTTAAAAAATGTTTCATGATTCTATTTACTTACTTTTGAACTTTTTCATTGGCTGCTTGGGAGACCTCTACAGCACACTGAAGCTGTAATTCCATGTTTGCTTGTTGAGTCAGAGCCTGCTCAAGTTGGGTGGCCAGTTCTTCGTTCTGCTGTTGAGTGATGGAAACAACGTTCTCTCTGTTTTTTAAGGCTTCTTCATAGGTACTAAGGGCATGGTTAAACTGATCTTTCAAGTTTTCTTCTTGAGATAATGATTTATGTAAACTGAGAAAATATAAAAATAAAAATATAAATATGTAGGCTGACAGTTCAATGATTTGTTAAAAAAAATCTTCATTTTGAATCCCCACTTCTAAAAAATCAATATAGAAATACTTAAATAGGCAAATGCAAATAGGTTTTTGTAACATATTATTATAATTGATCACTGTTCTGTAACTCTGTTACTAGGCCAAAAGCTATGCAGACAACTGATTATCTGTGCTATCAAAGCACACAGAAAGATGCGGTAAAATGTTAATTTAATTATGTTAGTGTAAATATTACATTCAATTTTCTTTTAAAGGAATAGCTCCGAAGTAGAAAATAAAGTATCTCTAGGTAAATAAAAAGTGTAATAAGCTGATTGCAAAGTGAGAAGAGAGTGGACAGCAGTTTGGGAGACCCAGGGCCTATGGAAGCACTTAATGAGAATGAATGAGGCTTGTGCAAATACCCATCAGCCTCATACAGACTCACAGTGGAAATAGGAATGAAGGTAAAATCACCAGTCAGATGATATGTATTCAGATATATATTTTTATGATTAATGAGCCTTATGATAAATACATCTACTCATTAAGTCATATGGAAAAAGAGCATATAAATTAAGACTAAATGAATGCAGAAGAAAATGCAGACAAATAGAATCCTAAAATGCTAAAGGTCAGATCTTTGATATGTCATTACACCCACCACCTGAGGTTATTTTGAAATGGCACCAAGCACCTCACTCAATTAAATAAAGACATTTTGAAAATATAAATATTTAATAAGGGAAATTTAAAATCCACATAGGAGATGTTCTTTTTTTATTAAATAAAATCATTCTAGTATATGCATACAAAGGAAATGTCGACCGAAGTGTTGGAAGTACAACCACTGAGCTATATGACACAAGTTGATAATGTGGATGAAAGCAATATGATTCTTAAAGCTGCAAAAAGCTAGACAGAGAACTTCAGAACTGGCCTAACATGCGTCTGACGCTTCATCTAAAATTGTTCAGATGAAATGAAAGTGATTATAAATTTCTTTTTTTCAATTTACATATAAACTTTATAGTCTCCTTACTGTGGGGTACATATCATGTAGAAAGAAAGACAGTTGGCATATCATAAGAAATCATTTCAGGATTTAAATTAATTCCTAACAGTAGAGACTGTTGCTAAACTCTGGTCAATTGGTTATCGCGTGTAAAATTAGAGTTGTGTGCAGATGGATATGTGATTGGACCCTTTTCATCCTAGCTCAAAAAGGCTGCTCATTCAAATTGGCTCACAAACACCCACCTTCCATCAATGTTCTTAAGCAGAAGCAGTAGCTACAGTGCTCTTTTAAAAGTGATATCACTATATCCTGAAAAGACATTTCATGTGCTCTGAAAAAGAAACTCCAAAAATAGCAAATTGTACTTCTGAACTCACTAAACCTGCAAACAACCTTTGTGAATAGCCTTACATACTGTCTTTGTTTTATGAATGAAGACATTGAAACAAAGAGAGGCAGGTAATTCACTCAACCCCCCCCAGTGGAGCCTGCATTTGAACCCACAGCCTCCCTGCACCCCCAGCCCCAGGTTGAACAATCACTCCTCTGTGCTTGCCACATCTACCCCAGCACTTCATTATCTGACCTTTCTACTTCAACCTTCAGCCAGTTTCTTAAACAGAAAGCTGTTCCTGCCCAAGGCATTTGTTTGCACTGCTTTCCCTCCTTGCAATTCCTACTCAGCAGGGAAGTTTCAGTCTAAATACTGCTTCCTCTGCCAAAACTTCAAGAGATTCTCCAAATGGAATGGGTTTTAATTGTTAGTTCTTTGAAAATTGCACACAAGCATGTAATATATTCTGGTGACTCTCTCCCACATTCTCTCTTATCTTCTTCCTACCTGTATCAACCTCATTTTCTACTACCTGTCTCTTTCCCAGATGCAAGGCTTTGAATTTGGCTTTGTTTCCAAGGCCACCTGGTGGAGTCACTTGTGAGAACACATGTAAAGGCAAAGGCTCCCTATCTCTGTGAATCTCGCAGTTCAGAAGTGCATGGCCATCACCCATTCTTGTACAGATTCAGTGTAGTCATCTCAGTTGTTGAGAGGATGTTCTTATGATGGCTGTGTATTGTTCAGAATTTGGATGTGGCCATACAGCATTTTTTGGAGTCCTTCTCCTTTTTGTCTGACCTTTACATTCTTTTTACCTCCTCTACTACAATGCTCCCAGAACCTAGGAGGGGATGATATTAAATGACTTGTTTAGGACTGAACACTCATCTGTCACTTATTCTGTTACTTATGTAACCCCAAGTCTATAATCACAGTTCACCGGAAAGAGGTTTCTCTGATTATGACTGTAGTTATCTATCTATCTATCTATCTATCTATCTATCTATCTATCTATCTATCTATCTATCTATCTACCTACCTACCTATCTATCTATCCACACACACACACACACACACACACACACACACACACACACACAATTTAGGAGGATGTTTAGCTAAATAACAGAATTAAATTCACTGTTAGTGTGAATACAAACTCATGTACCCACTATGGAAATCTGCGGGAATTCCTCAAAAAGCTAAAAATAGAACAACCACATTTTTATTCCTCTTCTGGACACATACCCAAATAAATTTATATCCTACTACTTAAATAATTGCTTAGCCATATTTATGGCAACTGTATTAATAATAATTAGGGAATGGAATCCATCTAGATGTTCATCAACTGATGAGTGGATAGTAAGATGTGGTACATATACAAAATAGATGTGACTGGCTGGTAAATGGATGGAACTGGAAAGAGTTATACTAAGTGAGGTGGCCCAGGCACAGAAAAACAAATGTCATCTGTGTCCCTGCATTTGAATCTTTGATTTTTTTGTCTTCAGCATAGAATTACTATAGAGCTCAAAAAGTCTAGAAAGAAGCTGTTGGGAGAGGGCTATTTAAGGGAGAAGGGATTATAAAACATAGGTGATATGAAAAAGAGAGTTACAATACTAGGAATGGAGAGATTCAAGCAGCTGGCAGGATAGGAAACATTGGAGGACAGGTTACTAAAAATGAAGGTGATATGAAAAAGCCATATGGAAACTATTATCTTGTAATCAACCTAAAATATACATATATAAAAACAAACAAGCAAAATGTTGGGGAATCGAGATGCCATGAATGGCTTGAAAGAACTCCAAAAAAGCTGTGGGTTATTAAACAAAGAACTCAGTGCCAGGTTACTGGTGTGTTACATTTCCTTATGGGGTGTTGGTCAGAGAAGACTCTTGAGGCCCCTAACAATACAAGCTCTTGCCATGCTTTTTGGTTGCCCACCATGACAAGATGGTAAAACCCCTTGGCTACCCCTACCCTGGTTTCATGGTATAGACAAATGAATAGAACTAAGATTGAAGAATCTTCTCTGCCAACCAACTGTTACAGTGCGGGGAAGTGCTGTTTAGTCAGCTGGGGAAGAGACACGGGAGACATCAATGGACCTACTTAGTTGTGATACTTAAGAACTACAATATCAACCTGCTAGGCAAGACATGCTCACTTGTGCAATAGTGGCAACAATGATATGAGGGTAACCAATTGCTCTCTGCTTGGATTAGAGACCCCACTTCACAAGAGGGAATCCACACCTGGTATTGTAAACTCACTCAAAAGTCCATGGCAGACGCAGGCCATGGGGGAAACTAAAATTTAAATTTTGATGTTTTCTCTGCTAGTGTTTCATAACCCTACTCTTGTATTCTTTATAATTTATTGTAATGTGCTTTTCCCCTTATTTTACAGTTTACTTCCCACTGATAATATACTAATATTCCATTATTAATTGTATGGCCAATTTTAGGTAAATGTTAATTTTAAGGTCTATTTTATGAGAAGTACATATTCACTAAGAACTTAAAATATTAAATGTTTATACTTCTAAGGAAATTCCTATATGAACCTAAAGTAGAGAGAATAGTAAGTAAAGTAAGGAGAAAATATTCTCAGCAGACGGGTGTTTATAAACATCTGTAGTGGTCCTTTTGTTTCATAGTGCTCTACCTACATGGCATTAGCACCCCACTGTCTAACCTTCTTCAGGGAATCCTCTTGAATATAATCTCCTTCAAAAGTTTTTTTTTAATTTTCAGATGCATTTTTCAGTACATCAGAAGCATTACAACTTAATGACCCTTAAATAGTATGGAAATAAACTAAGTTATAGTGAGAAGAAATAAAGACAAGCAGAAGAGTCATCAAATCAATCACAGCCACCAGAATTTGACACATTTCCACTGTTATCAAGAATTGAGTATTCTCATTATGCACATGCGCTACCCTTATAAAAAGCCAGGGCCTTCTCTTCGAGCCCTATTTCCCTTTCCACTCTCGGTTAGAGTCAGCCTCCTTCCCCCAATGAGCCTGTCGAGTGAAATCAATTGCATGGCATGATCTTTGCAGCATACTTTGGTCCAGACCTGCTTAGGTACTCTGCCACCAAATCTTAAGAAACCTGGCTTAGACTTCCTTTCTGCAGTGTTCTCTCTGTTTAGATGTTTCCTGGTTGTCTCTATGATTTTCCTGGATGCTGACTCTGTACTGCTTCGGCTTCAAACATTTAGTGCTATCAGGCCCATGACCACACAACAGCATGCATTTTCCTGCAGTATATATTCTCCTCAACTGGTATGCTTATCTGCTTGTCAAACTCTCAGTTGTAATGTCACACATGGGTTCAGCTGAGATACTTGTCAATTTGTTCTTTTTCACTAATATCACATTTTGATGCTGCTTTCCTGACATCCTCTCTTTTCTCCATGGTGTATTATTCAAGTCCTACCTAACGAGAACATTTCACTTACTGCTCTACAACAAGCACTTAACTGAAGGGTATGGAAAAAACTCATTATAGAATTTACCTTCAGTGTAACAAGACTAGTCATTCGGGCAAGAAACAGCTCTTGCTTGGACTGCTTGATACAAGGCCCAAAGGAGAGTGACTGCT